TTTGGACCGGATTATCATTTCTTTCTCTCGCTTCTCCAATTTCTCAAGTAAAGCAATTCGGGAAGCACCTTCTTCAGCTTTAGTATCAACCTATTTTACTAGTACTTGATGATGCTGGATGCTGTTGGAGCTCTTTGCAACTCCGTGTTCAAAGTTTCCTTAATCGAGTCCAACTCATGTCATAACAATCGTTGATGTGCTCAAGCAATTGTTTACACCTACATCATCCTAAATATAGGTCAGTTCGTTCTTATCGTCGAAAACTAATTAGCTCATGAATTATAATTGCAAGCTATACCAGTAAAAAAACACAAAGTCAAAAATCAATGTAGTCAATTCCCTAGAACCTACATATATCAAATAAAACCCAAAAACCTTATAAAAACACAATCCAATTTCAAGAATTCAGATCAAAAAAGAAGATAAACATCCATCATTCCTCTTTTCTCATATATAATTCAAGCAGAAAAAAAGAAGTAAAAAATACCCGGAGGATGTAGTGGCTACAACAAACAATAAAGTCTAGATCAAAAACATTTCATGTGCCTTAGACCTTAAAATTACATGTGCAAATGTAATAACAAGCAACTTTAAGCATTTTCACTATTCTCTAAGAACTACACTGCAGTCTGTGCATGAGAGGTGTGCAATACATAGGGACATTGTTCAAAAGCTCATAACATACAAGTAAGCAGTTGTATCAAGGTTAATGAAAATAAACTCGAAGTTCTGAAAGTTTATTCGTGTACAAGAATCCTTCACTATCACAAAGTATGAGTAAAGAATCTAATTAGAGAATGTCAAATTTAAACAAAAAGGAAAGAATGAAAGTTCACAGTTGAACATGCATAGTATTTACAAGATATTGCACTCAATACTAATGACATAGTAGTAAGCTCATAGACAAGGAATAAGTCCATCTTCAATCTTCAATAACTCAATATATAAACGATATCAACAGATTAGACACATACTTATACAATCGACGCCAAATAAGACCAGAAACAGCCTGATAAAATACTGAACAACCGTAGTATTTGATTCCTTATTTAAGATAGCATTTGATTCCTTATTTAAGGAAAAAAAAAAGTTGTGCATCTAACCAAAGGTGAGCCTTGACATACTAAACTTAGTACAGACTAAACTAACATAAAGTATAAAGAATATAAACTAATTATGATTAGTCTCACACAATATGAATTTCTTTGATGAATTGAATGATTTATAGTAAATTGTAAACTGATTTATACAAGTGAAAATTCAAAAGGATTACCGAGTATGAAAACTAGTCACAATTCCAATATAATTAGACAGTCCAATACAATTTCTATAACTTTTTCTTTCTTATACAGTCAGTTTTAAGGGAGAAAGAATAAACCTTTGAGACTCAATAATGGGATGGTGGAAAAATAGGGGGAAATAATTCACATGTTGCTACAGGTTAAAGTTAAAGCCGAAGAAGAATAGCAGCAGCAGCTGCCCAGAACGCATAGAGAGCAACGGAGCAGGGAAAGAAGAATTTGCTTATTTTGGATACTAACACCATTCCTGATGCAAATGTTTACAGGAGATATCAATAAAAATAGACATAGGAAAAAAAAAGCAAAAATGTTAATTTTGAAGATAGTGAGACACCAATAATCATCAGTATGAAACACAGGAAATCCAACATAATAATTCAGCAAAATCCCCGTTACAACTCTTTTTAACAAAAAGAAGATGACTAGATTAACCACTACAAAACTGCAACAACTCAATCTCATCGTAAAAGTTTGCCAAACAGCATCTTTTTAACTAGAACATGAACCATAATAAAGAAATTTTTGTTTTAGACACCAGTAACTTCTATGGTCTCAGGGTCTCACCCTCTGCCATGGTTCCCTCAGCTGGCTTGTCTAACTTTACACCTGTTTGATTGAAAAAAAAAAATCTGAAAAGACCGGGATCAAGCTGGCTGGCTATGTTCTGTACTGCTTCACCAGGTTTCTTGGCCTTTGACACTGAAAATCTTAGAGCTTATAGAGTATAGAGTAAATAAAAGGTTAAAGACAAAGGTTTATGTTTGTTAAACTGATCAAATCTACTAAACCTTGCTGTATTTATGAGCTTGTTATTCTACATTTTCAATAGGCAAAGTAAGTTAAGCAGAAATGCTATAGTATGATACATCACTGTCCTAGTGAACAACTTCCATAAATCCGATTGACACACCAAAGCATGAGACATTGATAGCGCCCAAGTGTCGTTGCCTTAATTCACATTGAAGAGAAAAATTAAGAATCTACTAAGACTACTATCAATCTATCATATCATTGGCTCTTCATTATCCAAATCAAAGGGTGAAAAAAAGAGGAATTACAGAAAGCCGAGGAAATGGGTTTGGTTTTCAAGCAATTACGACCCTCTATTTCATTTTTTTTTTAAAGAGGAAAGTGTTAAGAAGGAGAGAAGTGGAAGATCGGTAATCATAAGAGAATATGCATGTTGTGAAATAAAACATTCACCAAAAAGAAAGCCACAGAACTAGTAAGCCTAAAGCCTTGAGTAATAAGAATAAACTATAGGCTTTTAGCAAACATATTGAGATTTCATTGGCATGTTTCGAAGGGAGGTAATTAGGGTGATATTGAGATCACAAGCAAATAACTAATGCTTAGAGAATCAATGACAAGTAAATGATAAATATATACATCAATAAGGGTGACCTTGATGCTGTCTATAACGTGAGCATACCACTGGCTAACACACCCCATAGCTATCAATCAATGTACAACTTTCAAAAGCAATTAGTGGAACCCTGACATTAAGCCAAAGGAGAGAGAGAAGGCTATTCTTCTAATGTAACATTAAGCTAAATTAATGGTAATGGAAAGGGTGTTTTTAAGAATTAGTGAATCAAACTTATTATTGACAGGTTTAATTTATGCTCACAATTAAATATGCTAATACATTAGTATCCAATACATGACAATTTATACCTAATTTAGTATGCATCAGGTTAGTTATGTTGAGGCTTTAGAGAAAATCATACAGCTCTAGAATGGTTTGAAATCCGGGCAGAAAAAGAGAAACAGGTTTAGAGTCACCACTTAACATCTATTGTAAATTAATTATCGACCAATTGCAATAATCTAGAAAAAATCTAATGAATAAAAAACACAAGTAATTTACCTCAGAAGCATGTTCAAGCGTTTAGCATTACCACTTTCAAATCTTAATTATATTGAGAATAATCATTGAGAATAATTATTAGCGATATTAAGAACAACAGTGAGTTAGTATTCAAGTTACTGATACCTTGCCATCTAGATAATTGGCTTTATAAACACATTCAATAGGTCCTTTTTCGAATAATTGACTCATAAAAAAGTTGCTAGTACATGTCTTTATCTCTGCCAATGCATTAGGGGTGATTTAAAAGGAAACCATGGGCAGTAACCAACAAGCTACGGGGGAAGACATCAGGGCAGCAGACAGGGGAGGGGGAAAGACAACAATAACTAACAGTAGGGCAACAACCACTGTAGAGGCAGCGTCAATAACAGAACAACACACAAAACGAACATCACAGGGACAATAGCTTAACAATCACCATAAAACGACCCTAACTGACCATCTATTGCCCCAAAATACACCTCAACCCAATTAAATCCCAACCCAACTTGCCATACACAACAACAATAGATAAACAACAACAACAACTAACCACACGTATCAACAACCACAACATGTTGGATCAACACCAACAACAACTAACCACACTATAGCCTAAACAGCATAACACACATGCTGTTTCAACAACAACAACAACAACAACCACACACATTTCACCAACAATTATCCATCCCGCCAGTAACCTAGGTTACTGGTATACAAGCATGATTAATTCTTCCACCACCTAAACAAGATTCTAAAAAAAAATTGACATAAAATGAACTGAGTTAGGGTTTCATAAAAACAGTTACCAACGGCAAAATTAAGCCTATTTAACGAGCTTAGAGGGGGGGACTCCACGTTCACATCATCATCATCACAAGTGATTTTGTTAGGAGGACCTCGAATCCTTCGAAATTGAGATAGATAAGAAACCCTACGGACTGGAGGGGGTTTGGCCACAGATCTGGGCTTGTTCAAGACAGGAAGTGATGATCCAGACCCAAAACCAAACCCTAATTCCTTGTTTATGCCCAATTGTCTTCGCTAAAACCCTAATTCGTCAACGTAGGTGGGTTTTGGAGTGGTTCCGTGGTGGAACCCTAACCCTAACACCACCGTGCGTGGTGTTTTACCCAAAAAAACAAAGCCCTCATGAGACCGCAATCTCAAAACGAAAATTCGTTTTATACCTTGAATAGAAATTCGAGCAATCAGCTCAAGGAAGGGACATGCAAGATGAAAATGAGACCGCCTGAGTGCCGCTATCAGCCACCACCACCTGAGTGCCGCCTTCGTCTACTTCCTCAGATTTCTTTGCTTATTTTCCTCTTAGAATTTTTTAGTAATTTTTTTCGTAATTTTCCTCTCAGAATTTGGAAGTAATTCTGGAGAATTGAAGAAAATATGAGAATGTGAGAAAATGGAGAATTGGGGAAAATGGAGAAAATGGATACTGTGAGAAAATGGGTACAGAGTGATAGTAACACGTGTTGTTCAAAATATTTGGGCAAAACTATAGAGGGAAGTATCCGCGCGCTTCTAAATTTCATACAGTACACATACCGTGGCAATAGCTCTCTTTTTTGTTAAAATAGCTAGGCTAATGCAACGGCTCTTTAGAGCCGTGGCAATAGCTCTACCTCTAAGAACATTAGCGTTAAATCCGTGGCATTAGCCTACTCTATTGCAACGGCAATTAAAATACCGTTGTATTAGCCTTTATTAGGCCGTTGCATTTGGTCAAAAATGTAGCAGTGGGTTATTATTACAATCGTGACACTCGTGGTGTTTGCATTCTCCGCTCCTTCTTTTCAGACCCTCGCGTAGTAGTAATTGGCCAAAACATGGATCACGTCGCAAAGAAACTTGAAAGTGACCTCGACATCAAGTTCCACAACTCCTTTGATGTCAATAAGCTTGCTTCCATTGCACACCCTCCTCCATTGCACACCCAACTTATTCCAGGCAAGGCACATTTGAAGGGCAATTATGGTGGTATTCTGCTGTCTGCAGTTGCAGTAGATGCCAACAATGAAATATATCCCTTAGCATATGCCATAGTGAGATCTGAAGACAAAGAAACTTGGGCTTATTTCTTCTGGCATCTTCACAACATAGTCAAGCAGTCAAGCAGAGAACATTGGACTATTATATCTGACAGACAAAAGGTATAACTTTCTTACCTTCCCTCATTTAGCTTTTCTACTAACATAACTGATTAGTAATTAACCTTATCAATTTTGTGGCTTAAAAACCCAGGGAGTTGATATTGCCCTAAAACAAGTATGGCCTTCTGCAAAAAGAAGGTATTGCTGCAGGCATTTAAGCAGAAACTATAAAAAAGCATTCCCAAGTCCTCTGATGTATACGTTGTTCTGGAGGGCATGCAATGCAACAAATAAGAACACATTTAGAAAAGCAATGGAGAAGTTGCAAAAGGAAGGAGGAGAGGATGTTATGACTTGGTTTGCTGAGTTAGGTGATCAGTCAAAATGGAGCAAACATGCCTTTGATCCAAATGTCTGTAATGACTCAAACACCTCTAACTTTGTTGAGAGTTTTAACTCCACACTAGGTGTTGACAGGTGCAGACCTGTCTTAACTCTCCTTGAAGGTAATACTTCTACATTTTGCAAATTATTACTCCTCATACAAGATCACCTGATTTAGTGTACTAATACTTGTATTTGGCATAATTAAAAGGTATTAGAAGAGTCTGTATGGTCAGGATTGCTTCAAGGCATGAGAGAGCACAAGGATGGGAGGATAATGATTTATGCCCCAAGATTGCAAAGATGGTCAGGGAAATTAGCAAAGCTACCTCCACCTGCAGAGCTTTTCAGTCAAGTCCAGGAGAGTATGAGATACATGAGGGGAAGTCCCAGTTTCCTCTAAGTCTAAACTCCAAAATTTGCTAATGTGGAGCTTGGCAACTTTCTGGTATCCCCTGCAGACATGCAGTGAGGGCAATGCTCCATGCTAAGGTTGATCCTCATAATTATGTAAGCTCCTGGTATACTGCAAGAACATACAAGAAAATTTACAAATATGTTATAAACCCTGTTCCCGTTTCAAGTCAGTGGCCACCTGCTGATGCTAACCACCCTCACATTCATCCACCAAAGATAAAGAGAGGTGTTGGTAGGCCAAGTAGAAACAGGAAGAGAAAAGAGGGTGAAGACCAACTAGGGAAGAGGTCTAGAACAATTAAATGCAGCAACTGTGGGAACTTGGGGCACAATGCCTGCAGAATACCACCATAATTGCCCTTCAAATGTGCCTTCACCAGAATACCCCAATCAAAGGCCTACAACCTCCCAGAAAACCCTTCCACTGTCCAGCAAAACTTATGAAAATACTTGTGAAGAGATTGACCCTAGGAATGCTTTCACTCAGTTCCCAAGCTACAAATGCCATTGACTCAGGGTTAGTGAAGGATATCATGTCAGCATACTGTGGCATAAGTGAGTAAGACTCATCATGACCCCCAAACAGTTTCTCAATTACAAACCTCTTCAGCTTGTACAATGAAGCTTGTTTCATATATATCCCAAACCTCTGAAACAGGAGTTCATTCAATGCCTTGCCTGGAATGTCTAGATCAGCCCTAATATCTTCCATCACCTTAGGAGCAGCCCACTTAACAGTACAAATACTGTTGTAGGTTTCCAAACCCCTACAATTATGAACATCTGGCCAAATTTTCTTTATTGCCCATGTCTTCCCATCAACTAACCTACTGGCATGTAATCTCCACTCACAACACTCTGCATAGCATGTCACAGTGTATCTCATGTTGTCTGCAGCAACAACATGTAAAGCAAAACCTTCCTACACTGCATAATCTTTCAACACTTCCTTTAAATGAGCCTTGTCTATGAAAATCATCCAAGTTCTAAGTTTAATCTTCCCTAATTTCACCTCTTCATACATTTCACCATGACCATAAAGCTGCTGAAAGTAGTCATCATCATCATCATCATCATCATCTATGAAACCAGACCATAAACCCTGTTCCCAATTGTCTTCTATTTGGGGAACCTGTCCTAAATCAACCAACTCATCTTCTGGTACTTCACCAACAGATAGTACTTCACCATCAGAATCCTCATCATAATCCTCCTGATAATCCCCATCATCATCCTCATCATAATCCCCATCATCACTGCCATCATCACCCCCATCATCACCCCTATCCTCATCACAGTCCCTATTAAAGTTGACTCTCCTCCTAGCATTTGATTCACTGCTTTTCTTACCCTCACTTGCCTTAGCACTAACTCTAACCTTAGTACCAGTCCAAACTCCCTTCCTTCTTTGTGTAGTCTTAGGAATTTTTCTAGAAAAAAGCATGGGGTTAGTGGTTGGATTTGGACCTCTAGTGTTTGGACTAGATGAAGAAATGTCACAGGTTTTCTTGGTAGTAGTTTGTGCTGGTGAAAACCTAGGGCTTCTTCTAACAGGTAGTGTCTTAAACACTGTGTGTGGTGACATGGGAGCTGGGGGTAACTTCTCACCAGCAGAAGAACAAGTTGTACCACCAGAAGGACCCTTACCCTTACCCTTGCCCTTTGTTGTACCACCAGAAGGACCCTTAGTCTTCTCCATGTACTTCTCAAACTCCTTCCTACCCTTAGTGTACTCTTTTGCAGACTGCTTAGCACTATTTAGTTCAAACTCCTCATATACATCATTGAAGGTAGCATCTGGGTCATAGTTTATAATCCTACTGTCAAGGTCTTCTAATGAGGGGTTTACAACAGAGTCAGAATTTGTTGCTTGATGAGTTAATTGAGGATTTGTTGAAACAGGAGTTGATTTAAGGTTTGTTGCTTGAGGAGTTCATTGGTATGTTAGTCTCAATCTCCTCCTAGGTTGGAGCTTGATCCTAGAAGGTTGTGTAAGTGAAGCAGAATGGGTTAAAGCTTGGTCAATAGGATGGGCAGCTTGGACATTGATAGGTGGTGGTACAATTTCAAATGGTGGTTCATTAACAGGAGGTGGTTCAAGTACAACTTGGTTGATTTGTTCCTCAGCTATTTTTTTCCACCTAAACTCAGACACTAAATCATTCATGAAATCAGAATTTTCATCAGTCCCAACCAAAATGTCAAAAATATCAGCTTCAGGGAAAGTCCTAAACATACTAATCAAACCACCATCATCCTTAATAGGCACATGCTTTCCTCTATATGCATAAGCAAATCTAGGGTTCAATATAACTACTCCCTTTTTCTGTAACCTATCTTCAAATTCTATGATCAAATCCATGAGATTGCACATATCTGGATCAACTTCAATGTTAATACTATGAGACTTATACTTAAATCTGAACACAACCTTGTCACTCATTTTGCAAAATCATACAAAACTAATTTAACTACAACACACCAAAACATCACAACAAGAATATCAACCAAAGTTCAACATTTACACTGTACCATGCAAATTCATTGACAATCTCATCGAATTAAGAGCATAATCCAGCAAAAAATAAAAAATTTAGCACACAAATATGATCATATGGAAATCGAGATAAATTAAGAGCAAAATCCAACAACAAACTACATAAGTATACATATATTCATGTAAACCTAACAATTTAAACATAACAATTTAAACTAACAAAATCCAAAATTCAAGAAAGCACTAACCTTTAATTATCAAAAATCCACACAATGTTGCTGAAATTCCACGAATTTTGCGTCAAACCAGAAGAAGAATGGCGTCAAGGGTTTAAAGAAGCAAAAGTAGAACAGGGGAGAGAGGAAGAAGATGAGTGATCGTTTTTTTCTTTTTTTTGTACTTAATGCAGTTGGTTGGGCTTGGAGGGAGGAGTAATGAATTGGGGGGGGGGGGGAATTTTAGTCAACCAAAGTCAGACCCAAAACGCTTTAATTAACGTCTTGCTTACTGTAGTAATTTAGGTAAAAGTTTAGGGGTACCACTGATAATGAAAGTTTAATGATATGTACCATTGATAAAAGTCAAAACCTGGGGGGTACCATTGATAATTTCCCTAACTTATAAACCAATCCTTATGATAGATGTAATACTATCATAATGATAATATTAGTATATTTTGCTAATAATAAATTCTTTGTACGTAAAATTAGTACATTAAAGCTATACTTTACTTTAGAGCAATAATTAATAGCAATAATAGCATAATAGTATTAGCTTTAGAGTAGTAGTTAAAACAAGTAATAATAGATTTATAGTAGTATTATAAGGAGTCAAGTTGCAATAATTAGCAGAAGGGTGTGTGGCACCTTGCGGCAACGATAGCAATATGGTCGACAGAGATGGACAATGATAAGCTAAGGTGGCAGCAATGGTGTTTGTAAGTGGTGACGATGGTGGTTGTTTGAGCAAGAAGAAAGAAGGAAATAGGGGGAGAAAGAGAGGGTCGTGAGTTGAGAGTTAGAGAAGAGAATTTCTAATTTTTTGGTGTGAATGAATGAGGAAGATTAAGGGTCTATTTATAGGTGATTAAGGGTGGAAAAGATAGAGTTCAAGAAGAAATGAGATTAGTTTAAGAACATGATAATTTAAGTTTGTTAAATGAATTTGAGTAACATTTGGTCTAGATTAATTCATGTGGAAAAATCTAATGAAAAGAATTAGAAGTGAGAATAAGATAGGTGTTAATTGGTTAGGGAAGTAAGATAGAAAGTAAGATACTTAAGGTTGAAGAATATGAAGATAAAGCCATGATTGACATCTTCAACTCACCGCCAACATAATTTAATTTTTTTTTAATAAAAACAAAAATCATAATTAAATAAATAAAATAATTGAATTTGATAATTAAACCAAGTTATTATATAAATACTTTAGATAATATCAAAACTAAAATTAGTTGTAAATCATAATATATATATATTAGGTATTATCTTAAAAAGTCTTAAAATTGCTAAAAACTATTAACTAAGATAACAACATACATATCAAATAAAATATGGACTGACTTATAAAAGATAATTAAACCAATGTTAGTAGTGGTTGATGGACGATGAGCAAGGTTTTTATGAGCCCATTATCTCAATGACTTTTTTTGGAGAGGTAAAGAAAAAACATTGTAAGCTTATCCTTGTTTTCACAAAAAAAAAAAAAAAAAAAGGTCCCCGACACCTGTTTTGTATGCTTGTTGAAATGAATCCCTTAAAGATGTCAATGACCATTATAGAGAGATTTTTTTTTATTTTTTTTATTTGAATCCACGTGATGAAGGGACTTATATGATGCATTGATGGACTAGTTTGAGTTTGCTCCACTTTTTTCCATTGAAATGAGTGTTGAGGTGCCAAACATTGCTATCCATCAATTTGATAACAAAATTTAAATCCTTCTGATGGATTAAGGAGATCATATGATGAATGATGCTACATGATGATTCCTTGTTATTGACCCTACCCCCAACCGATTTGAATGTGCAAGATTAAGAAGCAATTTCAAAATATAGTCATTTCATTCCATTTTAGCAAAAGTCCCACTAATATCACATATCAGACAACTATGGTGAACTAACTGCCCTTCACAAAAGGAAAAAAAAAAAAAAAGGATCATAACCAGAATACACTTAACCATGAACTGGTTTGTTACAAAATCTTGCAAACAATTGTTGGTTATGTGTAGCAGTTTGTTCATACTCTCATGACTTAATCAGCATCAATCTTTGCCTCTATTTCACTGTCTTGTTCTTCATTTGCTACATTTTCTGGCCTGAACCTATCATTTAGGAACTTAACAAATTGTTCAATCAGCTCATTGCTTACCTCTAGGTTGTCTAGTAGTAAACCTTGTCTTTCAAGTCTTTGTTTTGCTTGATGAAGTGGTGGGAAGTTATTACCACCTTGTTTTTCGAGTATTTCCAGCATACAAGCTTGTAAGGTGAGCCAAGTGTGCTTGTTTACAGTTGGATCAAATGACTCATATTCTTCTACCACTTTCTCAATCAACTCAGTCAAATTTTTGGAAAAAGACTGATATTGATTGGATTGATTGTATTGAAGTGAAAAGGCCCAAGTCTAGCACATTCAATTTAGGGGATTGGGGGGGTTGGTATACAAACCTTATATTGAATTCTTCTTGAGTTAATGCTGCTGTGAAATCAGGATCAGTTGGTATTTTTTTGGGGCCTTGCGTTGTCCCATTGAATAATCACATTTTTTCCCAATTGTCTTGGCCATTTTTGTATGATTGTCAGTATCACCTTAGTGAGTAGCATCTCCCTGATGACCTCCTCTGTAACATGTTGACATGCTTTTGTTTCTAAAGTTCCTGCTTTTCTATTCTTATTGCTCTTTTTGGCTTTTTCCTGGTACACAAAGGGAAAAATCCCATACTTTCCATCAAAAATCATATTGCCTTGGCTGTTTGTGATTGGTCTTCCAATCATTCCCATGAACATTGCCTTGATTTTGTAATTTCTTGATTGCTGAGTTCTGTATGGATTATCCTCAGCTCCATTGGTAGCAAATAAAACCTTCTTGTCTCTGGATTGAGCAGAAACCATTTTTCATCTATGTGAATCACTTTATGCATGTCATCAAAAGTAGGATTTGAAGTGGGGGAACCAGGAAGTATATGAGATAATACCCATTGGAGTCTTGCAATCTTATGATTTGCTGTTAGACTTGGCTTGTTAGTGCTGGTGTGAGTTCTTAACCGCCCTTTTTTTCAGTCTATGTATTGTAACATTTGATACCTTCAGTCTGATCCATAGCTTTTCTCGGTAGTCCTCTTATACAAAGGTATTGATTGCAACAGTTCATCTGAAAATTCTTTTGGTTTTGGCCCTGTTTTCCCCAATTTTTTGTCCTGACATCGATCACACTCCCTTCTTGTCTTTGTTTCTGAACATCATTGTAAACTCGAGTAATTGTTGATTTGTGTAGACCAAATTGCCTTGCAAGTAATGCTTTGCTTCCCCTTGGTAACTTGTTATCCCTCTCCATTGCTAACATATTGTCAACAAGTTTGCGCTTTTTCTCAAGGCTGAGTTCCTATCATGTTATCTGTGATGAATTCCTATCATGTTATCTTATTCACTTTGATGTTGGGATGTGTTGTCCTCTTCAAACATGTCTTCTTCGCCAAAAAATTCCTCATCATCTATTATGGCTTCTTCTTCTAAAATCTGGTCTAAACTGAAAAAACCATTATCAAAATTATCTCCCATTTTTTTTTCCTCTTTTTGTTGTATAGTTAGCTGATGGATGGGAAGCCAACACAGGCAGAAGGTGAAGAAATTTCTGCGTGTTTTGTATGCTGCTGCTGATATGGAGATGTGTTTTTTATTTTTTATTTATTATCATTTTTTTTGTGGAATTGAATGAACATTAATGTAGGAGGTACCATGTCTGTAATTTGGGGGGTAAAATCTTTTGTAATGAAACAATGACTTAATTTAGGTTGTATTTATAAGGTTGGAGGAATGTGACCCTTTGGAGGGAAACTTGAAAAATTGAAGTTGAAATTTTTGGCTGCCAAAATTTAGGAGGGAAACAATGAGTATTCCCACTTTCTAAAAGGTGGCAGAAAAATTTCCCACCATAAAATACGTACCAGCAGTCCCCACTTTCTCTCTCTTATTACTTAAATCACATGCATTTAATTCTCTTAAACAACCATTTTCATTTTTTGCCTAGGAGCCCGTGCCAAGGCTCAAAGTTGCACATAATGTGTAACGGGGGTAGTATTTGAAATCAATTTCCAAACTCCCAACTATTTATTTTGAAATTCAAGCAATAAAAAGCTAATGACATACCGAGTTAAGCAAAGGGTGGATTTAAGAAAAGTTACAGTTAAGAAGACAACAATGGTTGGACTTGGAGCCAATAGCAAATAATTATAATCAGCATACATGGATCACAAGCAAAGATTGAATAGAAGTAAATGGGAAAAAATACAGACTAAATAAGAAGAAACTAATAAGAACGTGGTAGTTTTTTTTAATTTTTTTTTTCTCAAATTTTTTTTCAAATAAAATAAAAATAATAAACTATATCAACGGTTCACAATTTCACATTAGTCATATACAAATGAACAGTTGTGATTTGTTTTAATACAATGGCCACAATTTTATTGTAGCCATTTGAAAACTGTCCTTAATTTTTGTAGTTTAATTTTCGAACTTTTAAGAAAATTGATTTTGTAATATTTGGCAATTGTAAAACCATAAACCTACTGTTTAATTGCTTAATAGTAAAAACCTTCTTCCAAGGAAAAAAAAATGAATAGAAGTAAATGGGAAAAAATACAGACTAAATAAGAAGAAACTAATAAGAACGTGGTAGTTTTTTTAATTTTTTTTTTCTCAATTTTTTTTATAAATAAAATAAAAATAATAAACTATATCAACGGTTCACAATTTCACATTAGTCATATACAAATGAATAGTTGTGATTTGTTTTAATACAATGGCCACAATTTTATTGTAGCCATTTGAAAATTGTCCTTAATTTTTGTAGTTTAATTTTCGAACTTTTAAGAAAATTGATTTTGTAATATTTGGCAATTGTAATTTCGTTTATACAGAGTTATATGTATCTTTTTTAAAAAAAAAAAAAAAGTTATATCTCTCTATTGTTTGCTTAATAGTACGGACAACGGAGTAGTAAAAACCTGAGAAATTCCAAGTTTCTCAACATGAGAAACAAACTATGTTTCTCAAATGGCAAAGACGTAAATAAAAGCACTTTTTGTACCGTTCATCAGCGAAGTAGCAGTTTTGCCATAAATTTAACCCCTTGAGAATAAAATTTGTTTCTCATGTTGAGTAACTGGGGCGGCCTCATAAAAACCTTGTTCAAAAAACAAAAAAAAAATATCTTGAATCAAATCAATTAATCAAGCCACAAACCTACTGTTTTTTTTTTTAAACCATAAACCTACTGTTTAATTGCTTAATAGTAAAAACCTTCTTCCAAGGAAAAAAAATACCTGAATCAAATCAATTAACTAAGCCATGAATAAAGTCCAAACAAAATTGTTCAGCATTAAAGAACGCCGTCTGTGGGGATCGAACCCACGACCACGTGGTTAAAAGCCACGCGCTCTACCACTGAGCTAAGACGGCTCAATCTTAGTTGTTGTAACTAACATTAAATTATAAACAGCTAATTTCGATCTGTCACTAAACAGACAGACTTTCCAAAAGTTTTAACTTTCCCTAAGTTGAATGTTTTTCAAATAAAGTTTTTATTCTTCAATTTTTTATTTTTTTTAATGATCAGTTTGATAAAATTAAGTTCTTATAATTTACTTAAGTAATTCGACAATACTTATGTTGTTTAATACCGTTTTTATTTAACATTAAACTAGATAAACTTTGTTTATTTAAAATAGTCCTACCATACACCAATTTTTATTAGACTTTCCAAAAGTTTATGTTTCTTTTTTTTTTTTAAATGGTTTTTTTTTTCTAGCACTCATTCTTTTATCAAATGAGTGCTACTCTTGAAACCACTGCTTTAATTCCCAAAACTAACACAACTTACTTGAAATCGCCTCCACCACACCTAAACCACCTTTCAACCCCAAACCTATAACCACAATAACACCATCCCGAAGCACTAATCTACCCTCACCAGCTCGGAAAATCCACCAACTGCACCAAAAATAGCCTTACCACCTTGAAAACCAACCCTCACGGTGGTTTCGGGGGTGTTTTAATGTGGATCAACATCGTAAAATTAAGTCAACGGTAAAAATTCGGTCAAAGGTGGTATCTTACAATATTTTGCCTTTTATTAGGCAGTTTCTTACAACATTTTTTTTATTAAGTAGTTTCTCACAAAATTTAGGTTTTATTAGGTAGTTTCTCACAAAAAGTCCAATATAATATTAGATAATTAGAATTTGAAAATCGAAGCGAAGCTGTGAATGACGACAATGAATGAGTGAGGAAAAAAATGAATTAGTATATAGGCATATCTTAAATTAACATAAGAACACGTTATAGTGTTGGAAAAAAATATAAGACGAAGCTTTGTCGTCGCTGTCAATTGAATTTACTACAAACATTTCTAATCTCTCCTTGATCGCCTGTAAGGACGTCAACTGCTTGCAGCTTCACCATTGCATTTGCAAGTGCAACATTGAATAAAGTGGCATTTAAAGACAATTGTACAACTGTTGCTTTTGTTAAAGGATCATTAGCCAATGCTTGGTCAATTGAGAGGATTCCTCTTTGTTTCAAGATTTGGTTGTAGAAAGTGTTGTCAACTTTGCCTGAATGTTGAGGGTTTTGGTTTAGGAGAGCGAAGTTGTTAGAGAATTGTCCCTGGGGGCATGTTTCCGACAATTGTTCGCGAAGGGTTGGGTCCATGGTTGGGTCAAACTGGCTAGTGCCTGAGTAAAGGCGGTCTTCGAATGATATACAATGTGCAATTCCAACAGTATGAGCACCTAATTCCAAAAACAAATTGTACCATATTAGAAAGTACCTATGCATGAAAACCAAATATTGTACTTATTTCAAAGCAACATTAAGAAATAAATAAATAAATAATGTACCATATTATAAAACTACCACTATAATAGGAAAGGGTATATATACGTATGTTTAGTGAGGTACCTAAAAGAACAACCATTTCTTCAGCAGTGAAATTTTTTGCTTGGAAAACATCAATAGTTTCTTGCACTGTCAAAGTAGGACTTGGAAGATCAACATCTTCATCGTTTGAAATTATTCCATCTCTTCTTCCTGTTTGTGCTAAATATTCTGGTCCTCCTCCCTTTGTAGAAAACAAAAGCATTATTGACGTTCAGTTATCTAAATAATCAAGTTGTATGAAAGTAAGTAGGAAAATCTTGAAAGTCTCTTACCAATTTTATTACGACGTTAGTAGCTACTGCTATGATGTCTGCACAAGAGACAATTCCGGGGCATTCTTCTTCAATAGAAGCCTTTATTGTATCAATAAGTTCATATCCCCTTACAGTGAGATTAGGGATCGCAGTCTTTTCAGTTGCATTTCCTTCTATTAGGATTGAAGCATCACATCCCTTTACAAGATAAACATACATTAGGCTAGAATTTTTTTTTTTAAAGTTATTTTGTAAATAATAATGTAGCAAAAGGTAGGTATTGTAATTTCTTTTTCAAACGGTACAATTTTTTAAACAAAGAAAGGTTACATGTGGATCCAACTCTAACCTATTTTCGACGAATCTAGATTTAAACTTTTGCTCCATGACTCCGAATACAAATTTGGGTAACAATGGGTTTAGCTATGAATCCATTAGGATTTGGTCTGAATTCAACTTATCTTGAATAATTTATACACCTTTTAGTTCAAAATATTAGTTTCAATTCATTTTGTTTCACAAGTGAGACTATATAAATGTATGTATAATTATTGGAAAGTAAGAGAAAAAAGGAAAAAAAAAATGAAGAATAATAATTTAATACTTAGTATAGTGGTGAAATGTTGCAAGAGATCAAAAGAATAGTATGATAAGTAAAGTGGGGTAAATTTTGGAAGTAATAGAATTGTGAGCTATATAACCCAAAACATAAAAAAAAAAAAAAAAAAAAAAAAAAATGAAAGTAAAACCACTACTTATTTTGGAAATATCAAAATAATTAAAGTGTAACCAGTATTTTGAAACAGACTAAACACAACTGAATAGGTAAATGTTGATACTAAACGAGCATATATACTTACATGGACAAAACAATCGTGAAATTGTAAGCGAAGTAGGGCGGGAAGGATAGAAGTATCATTTAGGAAATGTTCTTCAACAATAGTTGATATGAGAGCTTCAACATCCATGGACTTATTAGAGCATTTCCCTTGATAGTAACCAACTTGCAATTTAGGAGTGTCATTAGAGGTAGAAGGGTAAGAGTTAGGGGAAGAAGGTCTTAAAGGAGGAGACGGAGAAGGTTTAGAAAGCGGAGGTGGAGAGAGCGTCGTTGAAGGAGGTCTTGATGGCGAATGAGGCGGAGGAGGAACAGTAGGAGAAGGGGGTGATAAGGCTGGATTAGAAGGTTCTTCATAATGAGCATCGTCCTTTGGAGAAGGTACTTGAGAAGGAGGAGGATCAACTGTAGGAGGATAAGGAGCAACAACAGGAGGAATATGAGGCGGCAAAAGAGGAGGAAGGCCAACAGGAGAAGGGGATGGTGCAAGAGGTGGCGGCAAAAGAGGAGGATAGGCTTCAGGAGAAGGCGTGATGAGGGGAGAATCAATAGAAGGCACGGGAGTAAATGTGTCGTCTATAGGCAAAGGAGGACTCGATGGCTCTATTATTGGAGGAGTCGGAAGAGGACTAGGAGGACTCGGTGGCTCCATTATTGGAGGAGTCGGAAGAGGACTAGGAGGACTCGGTGGCTCCATTATTGGAGGAGTCGAAAGAGGACTAGGAGGACTCGAAGATGGGGTAATAGGAGGATCAATGGAAGGCGATGGCTTAGGTGGAGGGTTAGGCCGGTCATTGGAAGGTGACGGCTTTGGTGGAGGGTTAGGACGATCATTGGAAGTGATAACCACACCGGCTTCAACACTCAACAAGTTGTGTCTCTTACAATCAACATTTTGGCTCGTTGTTAAAATGATTAGTACAACAACTAGAGTTAAACCGAGCCTAGACAATGGTGCATACAAGAGCCCCATAGCTAGCTAGCTTCTTTGATCTTGTTGTTTTGGATAATTTTTTTTATAACGATTTATGAAAATCAGAGCCAATTTTGGCTAACTATATAGTAGTTTATACCTGAGTTGACATAATTAACTTACGTGCCATATAAAGTAATGGGTTCCCATATCTTTTATACGACATTGACGTGCTTACGTGCTATCATGTAACTGATGAAATTAATGAGAAAATTAATCTAGTAGCTTAGTGTTCTGTAATATAAAATCCGTGTTGATCTTAGGCTTACAATCTTCATACTAGTAGATTCTTAAAACTAATTCTAATAATAATTCTTGTTTTAATTTGTACCAGATCGAAGTATTGGATCGAGTTGTTTCATTATTGTATATTTTCATGATAATAGATGTTTAGATATATTTAAATATGCAGTTATAGATATTAGTGTTCAATGTTATATACTTCGTATTAGTTAGCATTTAATTAAGGTGTTACAAAGTACAATTATTTTGAAATAAAAGAAATATATGGTGCCAATTCTTTTATTCATTTGTCTTTGTTTTCATTGGAGAAGCCAGCATATTACAAAGATGAGTTGCTCAGCACTAAAGCCGGTTACAACAAGTCAACAGGTGATGAACGATTTGGAATATTATACAAAGTCAATGAAACAATCTACTTGATTATCATCCTGGTTGTCAAATTTGAAAGGAACTAGTGATTTTTTTTTTTTTTTTTTTTTTGAAACCAAAGGAATTAGTGATTCTTATTTATCTTTTCAATCCTTTAAGTAATTCCAATGTCCCATTAGGGCCATTACCCCTTAATTAGCTAAAGATTTCAATTTGAAACAATAAAAGAAATTCTTTCATTTTAATTTATTAGTATCACATGAGATTTGACTCATTAATTTTTTTACTAGTAAATAAAAAAAAATTCCTACGAAGTATGACAGATAATAATAAATTGTCTCTATTATTTAACTCAAGAGTTAAGAATATGGTAGCTTTATTAAAGTCAATTTTGTTCTTTTGATAATATTTAAATTACTTTAAAAAAAATCATTTAAGATTAATCAAATTAAATTTATTGTCATGTAATTCTATTTGAAAGTTATTGAATATTGTCATTTATAACGGTATAAACCAATATAGAAGGGAGTGATGTTATTGATAAATGTAAGTACATATGGCTAATTATCAAATCACGTATCCTCCTTTATAAATTCCTTGATGATGTGCCTTTTCTCAGCTCAAATTTTGATTTTATTTCTTGAATACATGTTAGAAGGGAAGGAAATAGTGTAGCTCATAATCTTGCTAGAGTAGTACCTTTTGGAAACAAACAAGTTTGAGAGAAACATTGCCCTCACGTTGTTTCGCCTTGTGTATTCATGGACAAGTTGTCTATTATTTCTTAATAAAGGTGCTACTTCGTGTTTTAAAATATATATATATATTGTATGACGTATTTTGAAAACTATATAAAGTTATATGGAAACAAACAGATTATAAGGATAAAGGGAACTCCCTCTTCATGTTTCTTTTCTTTTTTAATTTAAATGTCCTATTAACCTATTTTGACTGCACATACACTTTTTAATCTTTATATTTTGATTCTTTTTGTGAAAGAAAAATGGTAACCATAAAGATAAAAAAGAGATAAAGGATATTTTAATTATCAATAAATACGAAATATAAATTATAAATAGTTTCCCGTCAAGTAATCCGTAGTAAGAATTCTTGGTCAAACTTTTAGATATTGAACGAAGAGTCCAAAACTATACTTGGCGGGAAACGAAGAGTTTAATGGTTTATGGAATATTAAAAAAAACAAATGGTGGGAACAGTGGCGGATCCAGGATTTTCAATTCGGGGGGACAAAATGCTTAACTTACAAAAAGCTTAACAAAAAATAAAAACAAAAAAAACTCAAACACACAAATTGGTTAATACTTAGTATTAAAATTTCAAAATAAAAAACATACTTAGTCATACAATTCAAAATGATGAAAAAAATTACATTTCTTGAACCAATGAACACTAAAGCGGCGTAAACCAGACACTTGTCTTTGAGGAAAGTCATGAGTTTTTGGTTGGCAAGGTTTTTTAAAAATATAACCCCTCTTAACTGCATTTCGTTCATTTGCAGGGTAATCCATTATGTTTATTCTTTTTCCCGGATCATGAGGAAGAAGTTCAACATCGTATACCAAATTTTTCTCCTATGGTACATTACAAGTACTTGAACCACCCATTTCCATATCATCTTCTTGACTTTGAGGGGAGCTTAATGAGGGGGAGTTATTGGACTCATTTTCATGGAGTTTCTTTCTTTTAAACATGAATTGTCGAAGATCGGGTTGTTTTCTAGTAGCCTTGGATTTGTTTGAATTAGGTGAATCATTTGACATTTCCTAATTAAATTGAAAAATATATATCAATTTCCACAATTCACATCATTGCATAGAATGCATACTAATAAAACGGTAAAACCTAAGATTAAAATTGCAATTAAAATTAAAATTCAACAAAGATTGCAATTAAAATTAACAATAATTAAACAAAAATCTAGAAATTAGGGTTAACAATTGTCAATTGGGGATTTCAAATTGGGAATTTCGAATTAGGGTTAGCAAATAGCAAGACATACCATCAGTGACGGACGGCCGAGGCTCGACGGTCAGAAGGTGGTTGCCTAGTTGCACGCAGGCGGCGCCGATGCACGCAGCTAGTGAAGAGGCTGCCGATTTGCGAAGACCGAAGTGGTGCTGTGGTGACTTGGTGAACTGGTGAGTGGTGAGGAACTGAGAGCAGCGACGCAGCAGGGCGGTGGTTGCCTGGTTGGTGGAGCAGTGATGCACGCCTCGACGGTCGATCTCAGTGGAGGCAATGGCGAATTGGAGGAGTTAAGACTGAGTGTTGTTGGCTGTTCTTCGTTCTGTAGCAGTGTCACGTTTTGCTTTTTTTTGGTTTTTTTTCACTTTTTTTTTTTAATTTTTTTTTAAAAATGGGGGGACAGCTGTCCTCCATGTCACTTAATTGGGTCCGCCACTGGGTGGGAAACGAAGAGTTTAATGGTTATGTAATATTAAAAAAAATTGGCGGGAAAAGGAAGAATGAATAACAAATTATTGGCGGGAAAATGAAGAGAGAGCGACACATAATTAAAAGCGCGCGTAATCTGAAGGAAGTTAGGTTGCTGATTTTGGTTTTTACTGCCATCTTCACTTTACTCAGCTCTAACGGTCTAACCCAACTTACGTGGTAAGTCTTCTCAATTTTGTGCTATTATAAAATTCTAACTAACTTATGTTCAATTTTAACAAGATTGGCTTTTGTTTAGTATTAATGTGTCCTTTTTTTTGTGCAATTATCTTTTTTGCTATTTGTTATGCTCAAGAAATCAACAATTATATTTTATTTTATCTGCGATTAGCACACTTTATTTGTGTTAGTGTTTAATGAATTTTTTAACATTTCACAATCTCTCGGTTTAACAAGTAGGTTCAATAAGTGGAATCCAAGTGTGCATCATGCTCTCGGGTGCATATATATTTAGTTGTTGGGCCTTACAATAAAACTACAATTATCATGTATTATGTACTTGTACACTTGTACTACTGGTTTGGGGATTTTATTGTTAAGAATTCCATGATTTCAACAAACAATATTTTAATTACAATTTTTTGTTCAATACGCAATTAGCATACTTAGTAATTGTGTTAGTGCTTAATGAAATTTATCTTTTCATACTTAGTAAATGTATGTTTATGTCATTATGTGCTCAAAAACTGGAATTTGATTGTACATACTCTCGGGTGCATGTATTTTTTGCTAGACCTTACACTAAAACTACAATTATAATGCATTATGTACTTTTGCTATTGTTGGGTATTTTTTTGCTTAACAATTCCATGATTTCATCCAACAATCTTCTAATTCCATTGTCATCTTTGTGAAGAGAACATTATTTGTTCAACATGAAGAGAAAAGGCTTGTTTAAAATGAAGCGAAAAGGCCGGTGTTCGGCCAAGCGTGAGGACATAGGGGAGGATAGGATCAGCAGTTTGCCAGATCATGTGTTGGGCAAAATTCTTTCTTTGATTCCAACTAAAGAAGCTGTTAGAACTTGCATTTTGTCGTTGAGATGAAGTATCTTTGGACTTTGGTGACCACTCTTGAATTGGTTGATTTTAAAGATGAAAGGCCAGAGAAATTTGATGGGTTTGTTAGTCATGTCTTACAACATTGCAAGTCGATTAACTTGGAAAAATTCCGTTTGGCTTGTCGAGAATCAAGGGACTTGTGCCTTATAGACGATTGGATTTCTTCTGCAGTGAGTCGAAAACCTAAACAGCTTATCTTGGATTTGTTTGGTGATACTATCAATTTCAGAGAAATCGTACTTTCTTCGTACCCTACTTGCAGCATTACCTATAACACGATTGTAATCCTCAAGTTGAAGTCATGCTTCGAGATTGAGATACCTGAATCATTGGCCTCTTTTCCGTGTCTCAAAATCCTGCAGTTTACGGGCTGGTTTCCTTACGAAAACCATTGCTCTGCATTAGACAGACTACTCTCTAACAGTCCTGTGTTAGAGGATTTACACCTTGAGGGATATCTTGAATCAGAAGCTGAATTTGAGTTTGATTTATGTGTTCCTACTCTGAAGCGATTGAGGTTAAATCTGAAAACTGATGTACACGGAGTTCATCCACACACTGTCACCATTGATGCCCCGAAGCTGGAAGATTTCGATATAGCAGATGGAACTTGTGCAGAGTATGTAATGAAGAATGTGGGTTCTTTAGATTTTGTTGATGTTGATTATGAAGCCTCTTGGACCGATGTTCCTGAAGATGATCATATTCGTCGACTGCTTGGGCTTCTTTTTGGCATTGCTAAGACTAAGGAATTATCAATATCTGTTGATTCTTTACTGGTAACTTCTCCATTCCTAAAGCATAACTTGTATGAACCTTAACTTTTCTTTGAAATGAAATTGTTTGTCTGTGTGTCTGTAGAATCTGAAATCATCTGTCAGTCGCCCTTGGCCACAATTTTCCCATTTTGACGGCGTTGGAGTTGGGGGCAAGTGAGTCCCTTGACTGGAAATTGCTGCCACATTTTCTCCAAAACTCGCCTAAACTAGAATCCCTACGGTTGAACAAGGTGAGCCTTTCGACATAGTTTGAGGAGTTCTTTTTTAATCGTTCATAGTTTGTAAGTGGTGATACAGTCATATTTACAGCTGCTGAGTTTTCTAATCTAATAGGAACTACTCAATGGAGAAGACTACCCTTGGGATGATGACAATGACCAATTCCTGTGGAATCCACCTAAAAATATTCCTGATTGTTTGAAAAAGTCTCTGAAGTATGTTCAGTTCTCATCTTTTGAAGGACGCGAAGATGAGCTCTAACTTGCAGAGTATCTGCTGAAAAATGGTCAAGTGCTACAGGCTATGGTGATCACAACCGATCCTTATCCACTAGACGATGAGATGGAGGAGGAAATACTGATGTTTGATACAGCTTCCGAGACTTGTGAGGTCCATGTTTACGAGAAGGTAAAGAGGAAGCTTTCTGAGAAAGATTTGGATTTACTGGAAGTATTATTTGATGGAGACTTCCAACATATTCGTTCTATCTAATACAATTCTCCTTGGATAATGTACGATGATCCGATATTGCTGAGGTTCGTGGATTTCATCAAACAGCAGAACAGTAATACGCGGTAATGGTTCCTATGATCTTCTTTTGCTATATATATCCTTCTCTTTCGAGTTTTGAGTTGTAAGATATATTATTGCTCAATGCCCTTTAATTTTAAGACTAGAACTTAAAAGTCTTAAAACTCTTTTAATGTTGTTATATTGTAATGCATATCTAATTCTAAGAGTTGCCTCAACAACTGCCTTAAACTTTAGTGGCAGGGTACCCCTTAATATTTCTTCCGAATACTTGCATATGATGTTAACTTCTTTATCTCACAGGTAATTAGATACTATAATGTTGCTCAAACCTTGCGCGAGGATCGTCGGATCTTGTGCTCACGAATGTCTGAGATTGATTTGCACATTCTGTCTTAGAATTGCAGAACTTAAATGAATACTCATAATCAGTATATTAATTAACACACTATTTGAACATATTCAAGTATTTCTTTCTACATGGTAGTTCGACCAAAAAAGTTCATTTTTACCTTTAAATTAGGTTCACTTAATTAGTACGATTATATGAAGTTTTACCTTTGTTTTCTTTTGAACTACTCACTAGTATAGGGGTTCTAAAAATGTCCCGGGTCGTTATTATATAGGGTTAACCATTAGTATATACTTAAATAATGACTCAGTTTCAATTTTTGTAATTAAATTTGTTATTCATATTGTCATTCTCAACATACTTACGTAGGAATACTTCGTATTTTGTTATTAAAAAAAGAAAGGAAAGACATAGCTAGATTTGTGGACTTGTGGTAAAGACATTTAGTGTTTGAGTTGGAGGTTATGTATTCAAATCTTATACAAATAATTGCTTTTTTATACTATGTAATATAAGTTGATGACTTTCATGAAATGAAAAACAAAATGAGTGAGTGCCATATGACACTTAAACCTTTTTAGGAACACTTTTTTTTATCTACAGTAGTTTTTTCTACTATTTTCAATGCGTTTCTTTAATAATACTCCGTAATTATGTATTGTTAAAAAGTCTGAAAGTTATATACTCCCTCTGTTCTCAAATGAATGACCTTTATAGCCAAAATCTAGTCCCAAAATGATAATTCTATTTGCATTAAAATACCTTTCAATTTGCAACAATATTTGTGCAAAGTTACTTTCTCTCTCTACTTTTTTTCAAATCTCATGTGAATTTAACTTTTCAATATGCTTTTACTACTTCCTTTCACTTTTTCAATTCCCGTGAAATTTGCTCAATGGGGTCATTCATTTGGGAAGGAGGGAGTATTTTGAATATTACTCCCTCCATCCCTAAATGTTTATCACTTTTGTCATTTTGGGTACCCCTAAAAGTTTGTTGTATTTCATATTTTCATAATTATTAAGATACATGAAGACTTTTATATCCTCATTTTTTTTGTTCTTATTTAGTCCTCTTCCTATTTTGCCCTAACATTTGCCATAAAAATTGTGCCAACTTTTGACTAATTTAATTTTTTACACTCTTGAATCTCTCAATTTTTTTTCCATGTATTTTAATTACTTTTTTAATTGAGAATTTCTCTTTTCCATGCACTTTTATTACTTTATTGATCGGGAATTTCACTTTCTCATATACTTTCATTACTCTACATTCTCCACCTTAATTCCCGTGAATTTTCATCAAAAGTGACAAATATTTGAAAACGGAGGAAGTAGATATTGAAATGATTTTAACAAAATCTCATATCACCATGTTTTTCTATATATTATTAATAAAAAATTGTTTAAATACTACGAAGTATGTGAAAAAGATAATAAGGTACTTCGTAATAAATTTTGACATATTCATTGATAAATAATATGTTTGGAAAATTTTGGAATATTAAAAAACTTTTTGATTCGCTCTAGCCGAAAAATGGGAAAAGCAAATAGAGTCGGAGGGGTAGTAAAGTAAGTAAACCAGTAGTAATTCATGGTTAAACAGTAAACACAAATTCTTATATGTGGTCGGCCACATTGTGTGGTCATTCATTATAGGGTCGAGGTTACTTCATTAGTGTTATGGGGATCACCTAGTCAATTTTACAGGAGTTATCAGTTCTATAAGATCTATTCGGTCAATATTATAGGAAATACTCGGTCACTGTTATAAGGGTTAATTTGCTAGTTTACAAACGGCCACATGGTGTGGTCAGTCGCACACAAACGTATTCAACAGTAAATGGGTGCATCTTTATAAAAATGACGGCAATAGTATTCTGTTTTCTTTCTTTCTTTCTTTCTTTTTTTTTATTTTTTTATTATTGACTTATCAACACTTCATTAAAACATTGAATATACCTCCCAATCTCCCATTATACTCCCCTTGTTTATGTTTAGTTGTCGAAATTTGATTGGTCACATGTGTTAATGTAGAACTTTGAGTGATAATAATATTTTTAATTATCAAAACAAGTAAATTATAAAATGTTAGTATTCAAAAACTGTACATTTTAAAATGATTCTAACAACTATCTATAATTTTTTGTATGTATAAATCACTAACATTGGTCAAAGTGCATTACTCCGTATGTAAATATTGCAAAAAGTCAACATGAAACACTTAAATAAAAACAATGGGAGTATTTTTTTTCCGGAAAACTCAAGAAAATTCTACCACCAAAAGAAATGAAGAGTTGTTATGATACTCTTCCGGTCTTCCCCATCAAATTTCCTGCTTAGACCTTGTCATATTCACCTTATTAAATTTATTTCAAGAAAATAAAAGTTTATTCGAATTTAATTTATAATCAAAATAAGTTCTAATAAAGTCTAATTAGATTAGATATATTTAGATAAGATTATTAGTTAAAACAAATTAACATTTGATAAGTATGATTAGAACTTATTTTTTCTAATTTGATATGAAATTAGTAAAAAATAAGGTGAACTAAACATAGTCTTTCTCGGTCTATCTCTCATATTAATATACTTCATCTATTCCACAAATATTGCAACAAGGATGAAATTACGCATCCCAAAGAACATTTTATATGCTAAATATCTATAATTATATAAGAGTAAAAATTATAAAAAGTTGATATTGTGAAAATATTTTACGAGATGAATTTAACAAGACTCCACATGACTATATTTTACTTTATGTATAAATCATAATATGTGGTCAAACAAGCGTTATGAATAATATAAAAGTCCAGTTATTGCAATATTATTATAACGAAGGAAGTATGTGTCTACTCACGTTATAATGCGTACAAAAGTCAAATTTCAGATATTCAGATGACCACATTTCCGCATGGGTATGTTAGGTACATATATTGACGAGGAGAGTGAAAACAAGTTAAAAGTTTTATTAAGTGCTTATTTGGTTGCACCAAATTTTATAGGAACTCAAAATCCCTTAGAAAAACATTTTTCTTATGTAATTTGGTTAACTAAAAAAGTGCACAATGGAGGAATTGGAATTTTGAGTTTGAAATTCCTACAATCTCACATAATGTAGGAATTCATTCCACTAATCCCCTTAGGTCATTTAAAATTCATAAGAAATGGTTTTCGAAAAAAATAAAAAAAATAAAAAAAAAAGTAGAAAATGTAATTTCCATAGTCTCAACCAAACACAAGTTAATTCCTAGGAAATAGAGAAGGAAGGTTGATTCCCATAAAATGTAGGTTACCGTGAAAATTAATTCACATTGCAATCAAACAATCACTTAAATTAAATTTTTCGTATAAAGCAATCTTTTAAGGAGATGCAATTACTTCGTACTCTTAATGGACTTGTGGGACAATACTCCGTATTACTTCTTTCGTTTCTATTAAATTTAGATGATCACTTTCATTTTTAACTTGTACTCCCTCCGTCCCATAATATAGTTCTTGTTTTCCTAATTTGGTGATCCAAAATGTTGTTCCTGTTTCTATTTTTGAATAGTGTGTAAAAACCATTATACCCTCACTTTTTTAACTTTATTCATTGTACATTCTAAATTACCCTTGAATTTTGCGCATGTCTTGTACTTTTTTCCACTTTCTCTCTCTAAGTTTTGTACATATAATTGTACTTTTCGCTTTTATTAATGTACTTCATCCACTTTTCCTCCTATTTCTTAAATACCGTGAAAAAACACAAACAAGAACTATATTATGGGACGAAGGGAGTATATAAATAAGTAATAGGTACTCCAATACTTACTTTCTCTCTCCTATCACCTCAAATCTCCCTCTCTTGAGTCCATATAGGCGCATAGTTCCTATATGCAAAGTTTGTACATAGGAGGGTAAAATCGCAATCTTCGGTTGCTGACTCAATAAACATTAATGAGTTTCCCTTATTTTTTTGTTAACCTTTTGATAACCCCATTATTTTTTGAAATGTAATGGAGTAGTTTTTTGCAATTGAAAAGTCATATCACTTTTGAACTTTTCATTATTTCACTTGTTTCTCTCTCCTTGGTTTCCATTTGTTTCTCTCTCTTCGAATTCTCTGGTTTATTTGTCTCTCTTCTTCCGACCTTCGTCGTATACGCTTGGACGGTTCAACTTAGCTACAACGGTGGTTTCGTGTTGAGTAAAGTGGTGTTTCGTGTTAAGTAAAGTGGCGTTTTGGTGTTGTTGAAGCTACGTAGTTGTTGGTTTTGTTAGTTGAAATTGTTTGGGTGTTGAACGTGTTCTTTGCTTGGCTGTGTTGTTGTTAGATTGTACAATTACAATTGGAAAGTTTGTGCATTCCATTTTCTGAATTTTTCCTTAATTGTTTGCAATTTATTAGCTTCGAATTTCGAGTTTTGCAAGTGACTTAGGGTTTGTGATTAGGGTTACAAATTCTGAAGTTATTATACAAAATTGTTAGTGGTGTTGTAAAATGGGTTTGTCGTGGGTTGTTCATCAATTTATTATGTGTGCTAGTGTCTGGGTAATTGTTGATTGTTAGGTTGAAGTTAATGGGACCTAAATTGAAGTGTGGTGTGGACTTAAGTCAGATGTGT